ACACACACACACACACACACACACACACACGAGATAGATTGATAGATAGATAGATAGATAGATAGATAGATAGATAGATAGATAGACAGACAGATGATAAAATTTATAAGTTAGGCACAGTTCGGGATTAACAACTAATAGCGAAACGTAACAATGTAAAGCAGTGAACATTATGTAACTGTGTTCTGTCTCTTTCCCTTCCCTCCTCCTTTGCCCATCTCAAAATACTTTTTAAGCTTTCAGCTCTTAAACCAGTTATTCTCAACCTGTAGGTTGTGACCCCTTTGTGGTCACATTTCAGACATTAACACTGTGATTCAGAACAGTAGCAAAGTTACAATTATGAAGTAGCAAGAGTGTGATTTTATGGTTGGGAGGAACTGTATCAAAGGGCCGCAGCATTAGGACGGGTGAGAACCTCCAACTTAAACCCTTTGCAGCTTCTCTTTGGCGTATGAGGATCATCAGCATGCCTGTTTAAACCTTGGAACTGACGCAAGTTAAGTGAGTGTCACTTAAAAATGAGCACTGGGATACAGCAGCAGTCCACGTAGCCAAGATCTCTATCAACTACCAGGAGCATAGCATAAACCTTATGGAAATGCTGGGCAAAGTCACAACTGCCCGACAGAAGAAAAGGTGTAAAGTTTCATCAAAAGATGGTGCACTTTTAAAATGTGAATCCTAGGAGCTTGGGGATTTTCTGATGTGTGTGTGTGTGTGTGTGTTCACATGTATGATGTTGTACATGTGTCCAGGTGAGCATACTCATGTGTATGCTGTATGAAGAAGGAAAAGTCTATGATACACAATCTTGGGTGAGGCAGGTGCTGTGTAAATGTCCTCTAGAGGGTCATGTGACTCGTGGTCCAGTGCCTTTTAGGTATTCCCTTGGCTCACTAGTCCACTCCCATTGTCCAGATCCTTTGTTTCCACTTCTAGCCACGTCTTTGATCTATTCGTGGCACTCAAAACACAAACAAGAACCTGGCTACTTCAGCAGACACACAGGGACTCGGATCCACCCTGTGAAACTACGCTGCCCACAAGTGAGTACAGACCACCTGCATCTAGACCCATCACCCAGCCCTAGCCCAAAACTCACAGACCCATGAAACTCCAAGCCCAACGGCAGTCTTGGGTTCTACTGAGTCTTTACTCCATCACACACCTTCCTCTAGGTCACAGCTCTGCAGCTCTTCCTCCCTGAGATGCCAGTATTCTCAAAACCTGCCCGAGGATAACGTTTTCAATCCCTCAGCCATCCATCTGTCTTCTCCTCGTCTCCTCCAAGTACTGGAGGGGTGCTGTCAACTTGACAAAAACCTAGATATAACTGGGAAGATGGACTCTTAATTAAGAAAATGTCTCCACAGGAGATGATTGATGTGGGAGGGCCCAGCTCACTGCAGGTGGTACCAACCCCAGGGCTGGTGGTCCTGGATTCGGTAAGAAGGCAGGCCAGGGGGCTGTGCCCTTCCGTGGTCTCCGCACCATCTCCTACCTCCAGGTGTCTGCCCTGTGTTCCTGCCCTGATATCCCTAGGTAACAGACTATAAACTCTAAAATGAAATAAACCCTCTCCTCCCCTTAAGTTGCTTTTGGTCAAGGAGTTTATCACAGAAATTGAAAGCTAACTAAGACATCCCCCAACTCCTACTATCCAAGAGTCCTGCTCGGGAGTTCCCATAAAAATCCCACCCACAAGTCCAAAGATTCAACTGCTTCTTTGAGCTCAGGTAGGGACAAAAATAAATAACATTTCCTCCCTCCCTCCCTACCTTTGGTGTGCTAACCCCTGAGCCACCCACCTCCTTTCTCCCATTCATCAGTCCTTCCCAGGGAATTTTACAACATGTGAATGAGGTCACCGGAGCCATAAACAGCTAATGAACTGCTCTCTGGGATATCAAAACACAATAAAAGCTAGCACTCAGAACAGAAATGCCCCAGGTCCAGGAGAAGGGGCAGAAACAGTGAACAGCCACAGGAAGGGGAGGGGGCTCTCTCCTTCCTTCCTTCTTTCTCCTTTCTCTCTTTTCCCTCATTTCTTCCTTCTTCAGAATAGAATGCCTCCCTCCTCCCCTCTGTCTCTTCCTTCCTTCTTTCTTTTTTCTAGGGTTCAAGGTTTCACTTTATAGCTAGGGGCGGCCTCACATCTGTAACCCCTCCTGCCTCAGTCTTCCCAGGACTGGGGTTACGGATGACTGCTACCCCATCTAACTTGATTCTGCCACAAACAGCATTCACTCACACACACACACACACACACACACACACACACACACACACACACACACACACCGTGACTCTCTAGGGGCACACAGATATCCCCACTGAATCACGTACATGGAGAGCTCCCCAGAGAGAAGAGTGGAAGATTTTCTACATGGTGATAGTTAATATTCAACAGAAATGCTACAGGGCGACCATCTCATGGGTGGAGATTTTCTAAGTGTAAGGCAAAATCAAGGCCTGTGAAAGTCAGCTCCGAGACCCTGCTCAGAATCCCCCGTGAGAGGCTGGGAGAGCTGCTCGGGGGCGCGGCTCAGTGGTGCAGCTTAGTCCTCTCTCCTCATCAACGCCACCCTCACTCTCCAGGAGCTCGGAACAGACGGGAATATCTTCTCCACTGAACAAGGGCCGCAAATGAACCTGACAAAGGATTAACCATCATCAAAGACGGAAATTACAGATGAGGTTCTGCCCCGCCCACAGAGGTCT